CGATGTCGCCTTGGAGCAACTGCAGTTCGGGGAAAAATCTACGTTTGTGGCGGGTTAGTGAATGAAGATTTACTCAGTAGCAGAAGCAGAAATTAAATGGAAATTGAAACTTTACCCCTACTGCTGCGTTTTGTAATGGAAAAACAGGAATTTGTAAGTCCGGAAGCATGGTTTTGCTTGGCCCACTTGGTACAGAGCTACCAGCAGCGTTTGGTCCATATCCCTCTGTAAAGCTGTATAAATTGATCGGACTCTTAAAAAGATTCAGTTTTCGTTTCTGGTTGCATCATCTAAAACAGCAGTCGTTGCGTTGCCTGGGCGATCGACAGAATCCTCCAATGAAACACTGTTTCTTCATTTTTTGGGTTATCGTTTCATAACGAACTAATGGCATTTTGTACAGATATGATGGATGCCAGTTTCTGAAAAGTGTTGAGATGTATGATCCGGAGAAAGACGAGTGGAAGCCGCTATCACCGATGCACTTGAAACGAAGTCGAGTGTCGCTTGTTTCCAATGCTGGATTCCTTTATGCTATTGCTGGGTTTGTCCTTTTTTGTTAATAATTGATGTTATTTGAAAGAAGCATCCCTGGTGTTTGTAAAGTCCCCGGTGTTCTTTTCCTACATTTTTTCGTTCGTGAGGACGAAGTTGCTTTGGTACCCATTCGGCCTTCCATATAATTCAAAACTCCTAGTAACTGATATTTTATTATTAGGCAAGGTAATTTCATTAAGTAAATTTTAATAATTTTGCTATCGAAGAAATCTTTGCGATGTGATTATAGTTTCAATTTCTTTTTGTAATTTCTTAAAAGTAGCAGTAATTGCTTTCAGTTACGATGGTACATCTAATCTGAGTTCGATGGAGATATATAACATCGAAGAGGACAATTGGATACTGGCAGCTAGCATGGTAGCGCACGAAGGCGGCGTCGGCATTGGCGTGGTACCCCTGCATCCAAGCAGATTGTCATAGCATGCGAATTGTAGCTTTTTTTAAAAATGTACGGGTTGTTACTGTTTGTTATGTATTCACTTAGCGTGGAAGAAAATCCATATAAAATCTCTCGGAGAAGGTGTGCTTCGAGTCTTTGGAATTCATTTTTAGGTTTATTATAGATTTTAACTACAAAATGCGCCCGAAGAACTTCTGTTAATGTTTTTACCGCTGTTTCTAGGGTTGTAAAGTTTGAATCACAGCGATCAGAAGCAGGCGAATCAAAAGAGAAACTGAGCATGACGAAAGTCTTCTTGCCCTGGACGGAGAGATAAAATTCAAAGTTAATTGAGTATCCTACCTTCTTTCACAGCCGTCATAGTAAGGATATGTGTAGGCCTTGGAGTGAGGAAAGAGAAAAAGCGGGTAACTGTGTATTTAAACGAATCTATGACGTGATAATAATTAGTGCTGCTGGGATTCTTGTAGCTTTTTCTTGATAATTGTGATAAAATTGTCTTAGCAAATGTGTTTCATTTGTTCTTACTTGGCCACTTTCCCGACTTGTCGGTTGCTTTCGTCATCGGTATCAAGATCATTAACATTGTCATAGTTACGGTGAAGTTCATCATCGTCTTCTTTATTAGGCATTTAAAAAATTGTAAATGCACCATTGGCGAATTATTTTGCTTGTTTTTGGGGTTGGATTAGTTGCTGAGAATATACTCTGGGAGAAAAGTTCCTGCCCAAGGCTTCCTTTTCCCAGTTTTCTGGGCAGTGAAAAGTATCATTTAGATTACTTGAACTTAATTCTTCGGCAATGAAACGCCTTTATGTCTATACCTCACAACACTCTGTTTCGACTTTCAAGATACGATGTCAATTTTCAAGATACGGCTGAGAATGTTACTAACTGTTCCTCATAACGAGTAGACGTAGACGTAAAATGAGTGAGCAAGTAGACGTAAAATGAATGTTGTCGCTGTGTTGAGTGTTCGAATACGTCAAAGCTATATGTAACAAAAAGCAGTTTCGTCAACAGGCTAAGCTAGGTGAGCAGGAAGCAGTATTTTTCTGAGGGTGCTTACTATTTATGTGCGGGATGCCAAGCAAAAGATGAGCTTCTGCGTAGGCGTGGACTGTGCGTACAAGCGTAACAAATGTTCAAATTGCAACACCGCAGTATATCCTTAGTATTAAAGGCAATCTTTCGAAAGGGTGGGATCATGCAATAATTGGCCAGCATATCAACTGCCGGAGTGAAGATGCGTTTTTTTGTACCGTTCCCCATAGGTTTTCAGGCAGTTGCTTACAGCTAAAAGAATTGAGACTGGTTACCGCGACGGTTAGAAAACATTCCCTTAAAATTTCAGCGTTCTAGCTTCTCTGGTTCCCGGGTTAGCAACTTACTCGCCAAAAAATTCCACAGGCCCGTATTTATAAACCACGTATAGCTGGGCGCTAGGTTTGAAGTCATTAAGTTCTACATGAACAGGGAACACCCCTTTAAATTTCTAGCTTTCTAGATTCTCTGGTTCCCGAGTTAGCAACTTATCGCGAAAAATTTTCACGGGCATCATATGTGGGAGCTTAATGGGCAAGAATGTTCACTTTGGACATAGAGACCTATATATGCATGTAGATTAAGTTGCCAAAGTTTCAGCCTTGTAGCTTTTCTGGGTCTAGAGATAAAAAATCGGTACGGGTGCAAATATAGACACACAAACAGATATCCCCTCGACAATATGCGTTTTTGCATTGGACAGGACTGGTATTTCACTGGCGCCGATACGCGCTCCAGAGGTGTTAGGGGTAAGAGATGAAACTATAAAGGGGGCGACAAGCACCAGTGACACGCACACTCTCCCGAATCGCCTGCGGGGATATCCAGCTACTAGCAACAGCCAAACGCCTATTATCGATAAGGTTCATTCGTTTATGGGCGTCTTTCACGGACCGGGAGAAGGCAAGCGCAGCTGAGACGGTGAAAAGAAACAAATCGAAGGGAGATCGTTGCTCGTGAGCTTTCCTGCTTATAGCTCGTCTTTGCTTTTCTTCCCTTTTTTCTTCGTTTTTTCCGCTTTTTCCGTTTTTTCTTCCTTTTTAGTCTCTTCTTTGGGCTTGCTGGCTGGTTTCTTCGTTTTTGCGCTGGATTCTGTGGCGCTTTTTAGACTGGTTGTTATGAATTGCGAGAAGGCATTTGTTGTCCTGTCGTCCTCCTTGTAGTAAATGGGCTGAAAAAGGCGCGAAAACAATGTTCATTCATAATGAAATATGTTTGCCTCAAAGTGCACTCAAGAAGCTCGTCCCATTTCATGCTTTTCGGTGCTTCTGTGCCTCATTTTAAACCCCATTGCATCAGAATTTTACAGGGACATAGGATGAGAAAATGCGAAAAAGAAGTTCAGAATCGCATTTAGATGCAAAAATTAGTCAAAACGAGAAGCAAAACAGGCACGAATCAGGCGAGGGAGATGAGGCAAATTGCTTTCAGAAGCGGTCTGAGAAAGCTGTTCTGGATCATGAAAAACGAGCTGTAGTAAAAGTGGGAAAAAGTACGAAACTGAATGAATGCCAGCCCGTATATATTAACTACTGAGTATGTAATAGTACTGTCTGGGAGACAGGAGCACGTAGCAGTGGTCGGAGTCGCTGCAAATCGTCGCAGTAGCGGAGGTTGACAAAATCATTAATTTCGTTGCACCTTTTAATGAAAATGATCCATGTTGCACATTACCGCGTTTGGCTAACCGGTACTTGCAAACATATCAGATATGGACGTTAGACTCGCGGAACAGGGCAAAAAATGCGGTACAAATGTGTACTGCGTGCTGAGGCGTCTCTCCCTCTAGAAGTGAGGATAATTTCATTGGACTATGCTATGAAGTTTTGATCAATACCAGTGATTTGAGCGAAGAAAAATAACCAACCGTTGTGGATCCTTTGATGAAAAGTGCCAGTGTGGGGACGTCCAGAATCGGCAGTCCTGGGACTTCGTTGTTAATCGAATTCATCTTAGCAATGGTCACTTTCTTTTTGTCTTTGTATAACTCGCCGAGCTTCTCCCATTCCGGCATCGTGTTCTGGCACGCTGCACACCACGGCGCGTCTGAAACATTTTTCTTTTGTTTCTCGGGAAATTGCCGAGGAATATTTATCTTTTTTGATTTAGATAGTTTCCGCTTTATGAAAGCTGAGAAAAAGTTTGCTGAGCTGTTGCTGGCTTTGGGATGCTATAAAGTGAAGTTTGATAAGTGAGATGTTTTACTGAGAGAGTGGTACTTGCTCGCGAGAGAGAAAAAGCTTGAGTTTCTATGAAGGGGAGAGGAGTGGTGCTCACGAGCAGGAAACAACTTAATTCTCCGACGAATGGGAGATGTACATTTTATGTAGTATAAATTGGGCGTGCAATTCTCGGGGTGCAAAAGTCTGATGTAGTCGCACTCCGCTTCAGGTTATTTCTCAGTAGCAGTGGAGCACCAGCTGGAAAGTCCGGTCAATCTTGGACGGTTCTGGCGCGGAATTGCCATCATTAGGTCGCTCAAGTTGCA